GGCATCTGTTCTAATTTTAAAAACTCTGGTAAACATACTGACCCCTCCGATTATTGTCCAATCAGTCTTCTTTCTGTTACTAGTAATAATAGTCTTTGAGTCTTTGATAAACAAATTTCTCACATTCCATCTTGAGTCAAATAACTTGCTGTCAGACAAATAACTATTGCAGTACTGTCGACATTCCTATATTGATGAATGGCATCCCTCTCACTGATTCCACTTCTTTACGTCTTCTTGGATTATCATATACTACTGACTTTTCATGGAAACCATATATACAATCAATTGCTAAATTAGAATCTGCAAAGGTTGCTTCTTTTTATCTTTGGAACTCTGTCCCATTTTTTTCCATCATCATTGTTTTCCTGACTCATACAACCTTTAACTTTTTAAGTCTTCTGTCAACTGTTTCATTGATCTATAACTCAACTTTTTTTTTCTAGCAACTCCCAACTTGGTAGTGGTTACTTGAAGCCTTACTGGGAGTAAAAAAGAATTTAAAAAATATAGATAACAATGCTTAAATAGGTTACTTTTAAAACTTTTGCCTGTAAACAAAGTCAAAATACAAATTTATTCAAAAAATTCTAAGTATTGCACAAAGTTTAGTTTATTTATTATTTAATTATTATAATAATGCAGGATAAAAATAATTAAATGCCACCGGTTGGAAAATTGGGGAAAAAAAAGACCGATTCCGATTGTGAAAAAAGTGGCTGATTAAGCCAATGCCGATTAATCGATACATCACTAATATATATATATATATATATATATATATATATATATATATATATATATATATATATATATATATATATATAACTTCTTTAACAGCTTGTGGCTTGTTGTGGCTTGTGAATTAAACCTCCAACAAAACTCAGTTATTTATTATCTTACTCCTTCTATTCCTTTCTTCTACTTTTAATCTCTTTTTTGTCCCGGTATAGAAACTATTGTCATATTTGAACTAGTTCTTCTAATAATGCTCTTTTTCCTCTAAACAAGGTTCAAAAACGCATTGTAGATGTAGTTAGACCTGCTCTATCAGCCAAACCTGGCCACTCTCCCGTTATCATAAGATTGCATCTCATTCTTTTTGCTACAAATACTTTCATGCTGCTCAAATGAGCTATTATCTCTACTTCCATCAATCAAAACTCATTCTTACGTGACTTGTCATTTAGCAAAGTTGCATTTTTTTACTGTATACATATATGCATACATACATACATTTTACATACATACATACATACATTTTTTTTTTTTTTTTTTTTGTAGTTATTTTAGGTGTTCCCAGAAGTCCTTACGGTCTTGTCACAGAGCACTGCGGGAGAGCATTTTAAAAGAAGATCACTGCTTTCCGTACCAATGTTACTTGTTGGGCTAAATCTGGCTTCGAATCTGGAACCTCTTGGTTTTGAGCCAGAACTCTAACCACTGCGCCATGGCTGCTCGCTTCTCAGCCTAATGAAAGTATGTATGTATGTACATACATACATACATACATACATACATACATACATACATACATACATACATACATACATATATACTAAACAAGGAACAGATTGAAAACACTACTTATATATTACATATATACATGCATGCATGCATGCATACATACATACATACATACATACATACATACATACATACATACATCAACCCTTGGAATTAGCAAAAAAGAGGTTGGCAATGATTTGCCGATCTCAATCTTTTAGAGGTCGGCAAAAATTATTTGATACAAAGGTCTGACCATAAAACATAGAAATAAGGTTGGCAATTTTTTGCCGACCTCAAACACTTTCAGGGCGGCAGTTAGGTCGGCGTTGCCAAATGCCGACCCTAATTCCAAGGGTTGCATACATACATATATACATACATACATACAGGTATCTTCCTATGTATTATTATTATGTATTGTTATATGACCAAGCAAATAATATTTTGCTTTGACGATATAACTGGAGGTATTTCAAAAAACATTTAAAAAAGGCGCTGAACAAAAAAGATTCTGAATTATACCTAGAGAAATACATGATATCCAAATTTTTATCTTTTCTGTTTTTATATTTGTGAAATAAAGTAACAATTTGCTGGTAGTGTATATTGTTTAAAGTATCATTGAAAGTTTTATATAATTTTTTTTATTTATGTTATATAAATTATATAAGTATGCATTTTTTTTTCCTCTTTCTTAGAAAACCATAGTCTCTTTAATGTGCTTTATATAAGAATCATTAAAGTAATTACATATAAAAGATAAAAAAAAGTTTCTTTAAAAAAAAAAGGTAAATTATTTTGAAAGTTATTACTATTAAATAAGTTCGATCTTTAATGTTTTTATATTCAAACACTTTTTAATGAAGTATCAAAACACTGCTATTGAAATTTTATATAAAATATTAATGATTATTATATATAGTTTTTTTTAATTTATATAATTATATATTTTTTATAATAAATGTTAATCTTTTGAAATAAGTTAAAAACAAAGAAAAAACAATATATAAACAATGTTTAAACAAAGTATGAAACGATTTTTCAATGTGTATTTATTAATGCATATTTACATGGAAACTTATATTTTTAAATTAGTAAAAAAAAAAACACTATAATTTAATTTGTCTAAATATTTTTTAAACAATCATTAGAAGTAAATTGTTTCTTTATTTTAAGATTTTCCCATAATATTATTTAAACATAATTAAAAACATAATTTAAATAAACTTAACGTTTTAGTTTGAGTTTTAAGTTTTTTTATTTTCTCTTGTATATGTGCCTAAATAAATTATTTATTTGGGCATATTAGTTTGGGCGCCCATACCGGGGGCCAAAAATGCTTTGAAGTCTGGGTATGGCACTGATATATGTATGTGTGTGTGTGTGTATATATATATATATATATATATATATGTGTGTGTGTGTGTGTGTGTGTGTGTGTGTGTGTGTGTGTGTGTGTGTGTGTGTGTGTGTGTGTGTGTGTGTGTGTGTGTGTGTGTGTGTGTGTGTGTGTGTGTATATATATATATATATATATATATATATATATCTGTGTGTGTGTGTGTTTGTGTGTGTATACTTTAAAAAAGTATTGAAATCATTAAAAATAAAAAAACTTTTAATAAACTGGTTAAAATTTTTAAAAAAGTGAAATTTTTTTTTTATTTTGTGTCTTTTTTAAAAACCTTAACACACATGCTTTAAACTGAAAAATTAGTAAAACTTGTAGATAATTCTAATATTTTTCACACTACTGTATATATACATATATTTTTTATATAGTTTCTAAAGCAATATATATTATTTCAACTTAAAAATAGAATTATACTATTATGAAATTAAGCTTTTTATTCATTTTTTGCTATATTTTAATGATATATAGTTTATTTTTATTCATTGTTTAAATAGGGTCTTAAAAAAAAGATAAAAGCTTCTGGCATATCTTAAAACAATTTTTATGTATTAAAAATTAAAGTTGTTAAATTTTTTTTACTTTGCAAGTATATTGTGCTAAAATGAGAAATGGAGAAAATCACTGAAATTTATACCTTTTTTTTTTTTGGTTTCAAAAATTACTGTGGAAGAAATGTTCTGTTGGAGAAAATAATTTGTTTCTATTTGTGCAATTTGTTTCTATACAGCATTTCTACAACTATTGGATACCAGCCTTGACAGATATTCACCATTTATTTAAAAAACAACTACTTTTGCATGGCATTGTTCACTTTTTCACAATCAAAAAAATGAAAATCATTTCAGCTTGAAATTTTTCAAATAAATGAGCTATTTTGCAATGTTTGCGATGTTACTTAGCAATGTTTCCACCTTAAGAAGTTTTTTGAAAATAATTTGTTGTTTTTTATTTAGATCTTTTAAATATTTTCTTTGAAAATAATGGCTGCTTCATAAAATTGCTGTTAATATTTTCTGATAATTTTTTAAGTAAATTAAGTCATTAAAAAATATTAACTTATTATTCATTTATGAGCTGCTTTGAAAAAAGGCCATGTAAAATTGAGCTTTTTAAAAAAAATCTTCTATTGGCCTTCTAAGCCAGCATGCTCCTGACCATGTCTTTTTATTTTTTATTTATTTTTGTAATGCAATGCTTGAACGTAACTATAAAATTAATTATTGTTTAGTAGACAAAAGAAAAACATGAAATTCCACTTCATTTGTTAAATTTTAAAAATCTTTTTTTTTAATTTCTGCTTAATCAATTTATACAAATGTCAATGGAGATAATTTTTATTTACTATTTGTATTATTCATTTACTATTATGATTTTTTGTACAGAGTTTGTGTTTACAAAACCTTTAATCTAAATCTTCGCATAGTATTTGTAGGGATAATGTTTTATTAGAGTTTAGTAATGAAATTTTTCTGAAACTAAATCTTTAACGAGTTTTTTTCTTCATTTCTTATTTGTCTTTTTTTCTCCATTAGTTTTTCAAAATTCTGAAAAACAAAATCTTTTTAGTGTTAATAGCCAGTTTTGTCAAACAGTCAAACAGTTTCGATTTTAAAACTTTGTTTTGTCAAACAGTACATGTTTTGTTTTCTGGAACAAATTTAGTTTTTAACTCTAAATAATTAAGAAGTTTGTATAAAGATGCAGTAAGTTGCTTACAGCAGTCCCCTGCAACATGCGTACAGCAACTGCAGGTAACCCACTATAGAGTTACAATTTTAATAAAGTTATTCACTACACTTTAGGTAAAAATTTATATAAATTTTTCATTGTGTTTGTTTTATAAACACTGCATCATGACATTTTATAAGAAACAAATTAGGTTATGCCAATGTCGCTGCAACAAATATTAGCAAATTTTACCTATGCTATATATAATTATTTGTCAATACCTTGTTTTAGAAATGCAATACAATTTTTTTTTTGCTTTAATTTTCACTTTTTTTATATATATATATAATGTAGTTTTTAATAATATTTTAAATGTTCAAAAATTTATAATAACAAACATATAACATAGATTTGCTTATTAAAAGCGGGAGAATGCATGAAAGTGAAGCACGAAAGGTTTTTCGTCAGATTATTGCTGGTGTTGAATATCTTCATTTGAAACGCATTGTACATAGAGACCTGAAGGTAACAATGAATTGTCAAACTTTTCTTGATCAATCAAACATATCTTGCTTAATCCTACTTTTTTTTAATAAAATTTTTTACTAGGCAGAAAATTTACTCTTGGATGAAGAAAGTAATATTAAACTTGCAGACTTTGGGTTCAGCAACATGTTTGAGGTTGGTGGGAAACTAAAGACATGGTGTGGAAGCCCTCCATATGCTGCACCAGAACTGTTTGAAGGAAAGGAATATTATGGTCCTGCCACTGATATTTGGGTAAATTGTTTACAAAGTTGATATAAATAGAGTTGATACAAGTAAATAAATAAACTTTTTAACTTTTGTTCATTGTTTAACAGTTATTATTAAATTATATAAACAATGCATATAATTAAATATCTGGTTTCAGCTTTAATTAAATAGAATTTAAAATGTAGTTAAAGTATTTTATTTTTTTTTTTTGCTCCTTTCTCTTATACTTGCATATTTGTTTATATTTAAAGACAAATTTTATATTTTAAATATTATTTGTGTTACTGCGCTATCAAAATATATTTCAAAAAATTTTAGAGTATGGGTGTAGTTCTCTATGTACTGGTATGTGGTGCATTACCATTTGATGGTCGCACCCTTCCTGATTTGAGACAGCGTGTTTTGACTGGGAAGTTTCGTATACCATACTTTATGTCTTCAGGTAATTATGATAATTTGTATTAAATTTATTCAATACTCTATGCATTTTTTTAATTACATATTTATAGCATAAACTTAAAAAAAAAAAATTATATATTTAAATATCTTACACATGGCATGGAATTACCAATAATGTTAAAAATGTTCCTCCAAAACACTTTTTGCACTCTTTTTTTAGTTTTTATAATGATATGACTATCATATTTTTAAAAACATTTAGCAATGTCCTGTTAGCAGCAACATGTGAGAAACAACATGTTGGCAACAACATGTTGGCAATAGTATTTTAGCAAAAGTATTTCAGCAATAACATGTTAAAGACAGCATGCTAGCAATAATTTTGAGAAAGTTATAATCATTTTAGGATTTACAAAAGAAATTCTGAATTTCAGAAACTGTATTGGAAGTTTTTGTTTACTCTGTTTCACAACAAAGATTCTAAAGTGTGTGAACCCAGATATCTTTAAAACTTGATGTGATAGAAGGAAAAGGGTTGCATATTTGAAATTAAAATGAGATATGCTACGAAACCAAAATCTCCATCAGGTTTTAATATAACCCTGCGCATACATTCATACATTCATACATACATACATACATACATACATACATACATACATACATACATACATACATATAAAGGTGAAAACTTGTTAAATAAGGAAAATTAATTGATTTCGAAATGCAGGCATGAAATTAAATTCCTCTCATCTTTTTTTTAAAATTGGTGATCAGCCAATATTTTGTTTTTCTTTGGTTGCTATCAAGTATGTCTTGATGGCGTCCAAAGAAAAACAAAATATTAGTTTTTTTTAGGATACTATAACACAGTATTTTTAATTTTTAGCTGGTTTTTTTGTTTTTGATTTTGTATTCAATGGCTGATGATTGCCTTATAGGCATGAAACTTAAAGTACGATAGAAAAAGTTGTTTATATATATATATATATATATATATATATATATATATATATATATATATATGTATATGTATATATATATACGATTCTTAATAAATCAGTACAATGTAAAATATATTTTAGACTGTGAAAATTTGATTCGACACATGCTAGTAGTTGATTTAAATAAGCGCTATACAATGACTCAAATAAAACAGCACAAATGGATTATTCAAGGTGAACCATATCAATTTCTTACAGAAGAAGATGAATTCGGCTTTGCACGACACCATGCTGTAAATGGATCATTTAATGAAACAGTTCTTCAGCAAATGGAAGCTTTGGGTGAAAATAGAGCTCAAGTTATAGAAGTATGTTTGCTATTTTATATATAGATAACTTAAATTGTCATTTACTCTGGATGCACAGGCAAATTAGTTGTAGTAGCAGCAGCAGCAACAGCTATTTGTGGTAATTGTAGTAGCATTAATAGTATTAGTAATGCAATTCTTTTTTTTTACTAGTACTTTTAGTAGTATAATATTTTCTATTACTAAATAGTATTAAAAATATTTCTTAAAAGCGTTGCTTTACATTACTTGTCATTGTTTTTTTGTTTATCTTTAACAAATTATTGATTAAAATTGAAGAAAAAACCTTCAGAGTTTTACTATAATAAAATAAAAGCACAGTTTTCTCTTTTAAGCAAATTGAAGTGAGTCTCATAACTAACTTTAATTATTAAGGTTTTATCATTTTTGATTACAATTACTTTAAATATTAAATGTAATAGTTTTTAAGTCTTTTACATAATCATAGTAATATCAGAAATATCACTTTATCTATATCAGAAGTACTTTATAAGTTTATCTTTATTTATAAAATAGTGATAATTAGGCTTTTTGACTATTAAATGAATAAAAGTTTTTTTTGTTATATAAAATATTAAAAAAAAATAATTAGTAGTTATACATTTTTATAATTATAAACAATTATGAGTAACTTTTGTATATTTTTCAGTGATTTTTGAATATTTTCATTTTATTATTTTTCAGTGATTTTTGAATATAATATTTTTTTATTTTTTTATTTTTTTAGTGTGTTAATAACAGTATGTTTAATCAAACTTACGGTTTGTATCATATACTGTTGGATAAACATTTAAAAAACCTAAAAGAAACTTCCGTTAATGACAGAAGCCCAGACACACATAAAGAATTTAATAATCTTAAGTTAATTCAAGAGAAGACCGCTTGTGATGTCAATCAGTTTGAATCTATTGAACCACAGGAAATTGAGATTGAAGAAGGTCAACCAAGTGCAGCGGAATTAGCTCGGTATTTTTCAAAAAGGCGTGGTACAATAGCTGTTTCACATATACCAGATTCACGTAAAACTTTAAAAAATGACACAGAAAAAACATCTGAACTTTCGACATATAGGTCTCCGTCTCCAATATATTGTGAAAGAGAACAATTAAATTATAAAGAACAGCATTTACCTCGTCCTGCAGTTCTTCAAGTTCGTCCAGAATTTAATCGTCGTGCTTCAGATGGTGCAGCCACATTGCAAAATAGTATTGCTCAATTTAATTTGCTTCATAGCAAAAAAAATAATAAATCTCATAATAAGGAGAGCACTGAAAACCATGATAGTCTCATTGAAGTCCCTGAAAATGATAATACAGGCTCAGAATCTGATGGGGAACCAGACTTTGAAGCAGTGCAAAAATATATGCGGTCCCGTGGCAGTAGACAGAGGCATACTTATAATTGTATATTAGAACCTACAGTGGAAGAGCATAATATAGATTCTTTTAATGTAATTCCACAAATATCCGTAAAAACAAAACGTGTTTCTGGAAACACAAAAGCTAGGGACCGGGAGCGTACTAACCTAACACCATATCTTCCTCTGAGTCCTGAAGCAAGATCTCGATTGTCAAATGAAAGACGTTTATCTGAGGGAGCACTACTCTTTACAGATAAAAAAAAATCTGAAGATTCCGAAAATATGTTGAAACAGGTGCGTGAAGAACATAAGAAATTGAGAGAACAATATTGTGACAATCAAGCGGTTACACATTCTCTCCATCCACCTAATTGTTATCCCTTTCCTTATTTTCTGGATGATAAAACTTCTGAATTATCGCCACCTGACAATCCTGATGTCAGTCTTGCCACATTGCAAAAACAGCAGGAAGAAGCTTGGGAAAATCTTCATGTTCAACACCTTGTCCAAAGAAAGTTTCTTGAGAAACAAATGGAAGAGAATGAAAAACAACTTTTTCTATTAGCAGCTGAAAGAGAAAATATGCAATTAGAAAGCCGATTCTTTGATTCCGATTTTCTAGCTAATCAAAACAATTCTTGTTCAAATGATAATTCTTCAGATTTAAATTCAATAAACGAAACTGAACTACCTAATGAAATGATGAAACTAAATTTAAAAGTTTCTAACGGTGTTTCGGCTTTAGGAATCAGTAACTATCAGCCCCAACTTGAAACACTAGATCCTTCAAACCCATCAGCTACCATGGAAATTGATACTCATTCACAACCACAGTTCAGATATAACAATATTAGTTTGTTCAACAGCTCCTCGCCGCCTCGTTTACACGATTCTAATTTAAACACACATTGTTTACGTACTTTACATACTAGCCATCCTTTATCAAATAGTAATGAATTAGTTTGGAACAATAATGTAGACGGAAATGAAGAATTAAAAAATGAAAAGGATTTAAAACGTGGCCGTTTATTGAAAACACTAAGTGTGGACATGACTTCCGCACTTGGTATAGAGGAAATAGTTGCGGCTGTAAAACATTGTTTAGATTGTCGACCTGAGATTGATTATAGTCAGTCTGACAGTTATTTTTCATTGTATAAAAAAGGCGTTCAAGTGGAAATCGATATTCAACCTATTTGGAATGGAAGCCTTCTTAGTGGGGTAAAAATGCGTCGTGTAGGCGGCGACAAGTGGGCATATAAAAAAATGCGTGATGATATTCTTTCTGGTTTGTGTTCGTTGTTAGAATGTGAATGAACTTAAACTAGTATTCCTGCTATTTTAGAATTAGTATCTTTGCTATATTTGAGTTATCGATAGCGGTGATTAGCGAATGTTGCAGTTCCATTTTATGCATACCATGAACAACGGTCAAACAACGATGGTGAAATCAGAAACGTGATAATGGAAGATGGTTCATATCACATTGCATTGATATTTATTTTCAAGTGATTTTTTTTTTTCGAATTTTGCTGAATTTAAAAATATTGGCTTAATTCATTAGAAGACTAAAATTACTTTCAATCAATTGGATTAAATATTTTTTTGCCAAGAGTTTTATTTATCACAATCAAATTATTTTGCAAAACAGAGTTACGCGAAAACTCAATGTAAAAAGTTGTTTTCTACGTTCGTATTTCCTGTTATTTGAAGTATTAGAATTATAAGACATTTTCGATGGTCTTTAAACAATAAATCAGTCTTTGTAATTCGCGTATCAAACAGCTTAGGCATAGCATGTTATAATGTCTTGTTTCTGAGCGTTTAAAGCAATTTCATTTACTGACAGGGTGTATCATACATTATCGTGTAACATACAGCTTGTAACATACATTGTATATGTTTTATATAGATTTATATTATTTATTCATCTTTTTTTTCTCTATAATTATTTTATGCTGTAAGTTGAAAATTTTAAAAAAAATGTCTTTAATTTTGAAATTATGTTTATAAACAATAACTTTCACCCTTAAATTTATGTATTTTTTATTTATTTTTTTAAGTTATTGTTTTTCAAAAATTGAAAGCATTCTTTCTATACTCGAATCCTCTTTAAATTTTTTAATTTTTTTTAATCATTGTTTTTTATTCAATATTCTGCAAATGTTATATATAAAGAATATTATATATGAATGTTAGACATTAAATAACAAGAAAATAAGTCACTTTTTAATTTTTGTTTATTTTTTTTAACTAGTCCAATTTTAAAAAATAAAAATTTTAGGAATTTTTAATGCGAGAAACAATTCATTTGTGTGTGTGTGTGTGTGTGTGTGTGTGTGTGTGTGTGTGTGTGTGTGTGTGTGTATAAGAGCCATGGCGCAGTGGTAGCGCACTTGCCTCAGAAACGTAAGATCCGTAGTTCAAACCCCACCCCTAGGCAAGTTTTGCGACATCGGCTGAGAAGGTGGCGTAAACTTCCTATTAAATGCTCTTCCGCGGTGCTCTGTGAAAAGACCGTAAGGACTTCTTGGGGCACCTTAATAAAAACTTTATATATATATAAATATATATATATATAAAATTTTCGCCCTCGCTCTTCCCCACACGTGAGGGCAACAAGTTGATAAGATATTTTTTGTACTATTTTTAACTAAACTTACATTCATCGATAAATTTTTAAATTTCATAGAAAGATATTTTAGCATTCAAAAATTGTTACCATAAAATGTTTGAACGCCCACTTCAATTTGAGGGGGTTTCAAATTTTAAATAGAAGGAGGCGTGAACTTTCTGGTTAAATGCATTTCCGCGGTGCTCTGTGACAAGACCGTTAGGACTTCTTCGGGCACCTAAATAACAAATAAAAAATATATAAGTTAGCTCCATGCCTGGTAGTTAATTATCTCAAAGACCAAAAAATGCTGGATCCGCCCTGTTTTCTCCACAACCCACACTGTGCAGAGTTTAGCAAAAAAGTCAAAACGAAAGGTCGATTATTGACTTTTGCAATCACTTGCAATTAAAATGCGCAGGTAAATGGCAAAGAATGCACTTGATAAATTTTTATATACCTTTTAGGACGCCTCAAAATCTAAAAGTTGTTAAAATATGGGTGAAAAACGTGAAATATTTGTAAATAATGGCAATGCAGCTGTGATATTTAGAAATAATATGTTCGGCCGTGGCGCAGTGATTACAACACTTGCTTTATAAGCAGGAGATCCAGGTTCGAAGCGAGCTCGGAGACATATTCGCGTTAGGTTAGGGAGGAGGCGTGAACTTCCTGGTTAAATCCCCATCATCGGTCCTCTGTGACAAGACCGTTAGGTCTTCTTGGGGCACCTAAATAACAAAACAAAAAAAAAAACAAAAAAAATTATTCTTAAGGTATTTTAAAATATTTATACATATTTACCTATAGTTTTATAATTATTTTAAAAAATAAGGGTTTTTAATTTTATAGCAAGTTTTTTACATTTTAAAGACATTTTAAAAGAAGATTTTTAACGATTTTTCATATAAAAAAACCTTGTAATAATGGATTTCAGTGTTAGTAGTATTACTTTGAGATGAAATTATCTTAGAAGCATGTTTTTTTACTTTAATTAATACTTAATGATAAAGATTCTCTACCTTCACTTGTCCAAAGCCTCCCTTCCCCACCTTTTCATTTCCCCGGTCGCTGCGCGTAGTCAAAGATTTTCATCCACATATTTAACAAACTATAAATACCAAATTTTGAAAATTTAGCAAAAAAATTACGTTACAAAGTTATATATGTAGTTTGCTAAAATATATTTTTTATTAAAATCATTATTTTTAGTAAATAAATAACTATTCGAATATTTGAAATCTTTTTTTATATCTAATGTATGGATCAGATGTATGAAGTGTCTTCTCCACATCTCATATTAAACAGCTTTTGAGTATTTGGAAATAAGAGTAGAAAAAAACAAACTAAAGGTAAAGGAGAAGAAAACATTGGTTCAGAGATTAAAGGAGAAGGTTAGTTTGATAGTGGATTACCTAGATATGGCAGATCTGGAACATTCAACAATGGTAAAACAGCAGGACTTTTATGTTTTTTTAAATTAACCTTTTCTTATGATTTTTATAATTTAAGTTAAAATATAAATGATTTATAAAATATTTAAAATAAAAATGTTTCCAGGATTATTCTGTTTCGACTTGAATAGTCGGTATCGATGAGGAACTAATCAAGCGTTTGTACATCATACTATGTACTGTCTTCTATTTGGAAGTGTTAAATCCTGAGGCTCAGGTGATCTATTGCAAGACAGCCCAACGTTTTGTTCATCTATTTTACTTTGTTCCCTTGTGTTATATGCCACTGTTATATACTTTCTGGAGAAGCACAGAAAAATAAAGATGTAAAATACTTCAAAGGATTTTTTGCACTTAAACTTTCTAGAAAAAAATAAATCCTGGATTTAACGAGAAGACTTCTGTGTAGTTTAAATCAGTGATCAGCTTGCTGCGAAGAAGAAGTGCGAAAAAAAAAGCAGAATTGCTTCATTCCAAAGTAGTCAAACTTCTACTTGTAAAAAATTTGTAACTTATATGAACTTGTTTTGTTTCTTTAATTTCTAAGTTCAAAAAAATGTTTTTATATATAGGATGCTAATAAAATGTAATTTGACTCTTAAAAATAATATAGTACCAATGGCGCAAAATGCATTTTTTTTTGGTGTTGTAGTTTAACACTTTCAGACGTTGCGTAAACTTTAAACTTAAGTATGTTTATGCTAATGTCAAATGATAATAGTTGGCAAAAAATTGCAGTGGTTGCAGCCTGTGAATAAAAATATTCCAAAAATTTATTCCCCTTACCCTAAAAATTAAGGCAATGAGTTAATAAATAAATTTGTTTATTATTTGATACTAAATTCAACTACAGGTTTTAAATTTTATGGAATAATCTTATAAATTTTGAAAGTCTAAACTCTCTCTAAACTTTATTTGCTAACTAAATAAAGTTTAGAGAGATGTAATTGCTCGGTGTAGTTAAAGCGATTCTAAAGTATTATAGCGTCGTCAATATAGGTCGGAGTTCTAACATTTTTTGTGAAAATTGATAGAAATGTTGTGTCTTGACAATTATATTCAATTGATACTAAAATAGATTAGAATTAGGATCTATAGTAGAGTTAGACACTTTTACAAAAAAAATTAATTAAAATTAAGTTTACAATGCTGAGCGGAATTGATCTAAAGACTCAAAAATGTTGTGCTCTAGATTCACAGGGTAATAAAAAAGTTTTTAAAATTACCTATAAAAAAAAAAAAAAAACTTCTTTTAACATTATAAAAACTTTAAGAAAAAAAAATTATAACACCTGAAGCTCTTGCTTAGACATAACAAGCTGATAAAATCATGTTAATTCCAAATAAAAGAATTTCAATAATTTATAAAATGTTTTAAATACACCAAGCGGTCATAATTTAGCTCAGAAAGATTATTCTGTGAAACTTAAAACCTGCCATTATAGTATAATATTGTGAAAATAAAAATCATTAACTCAATTGCACTTTTACATTCATACACTTTTGAGGTTAGAAGGTCAACTTTTTGGTGCATTTTTGTTCTCACATTTGAATCACCTCAATTTTTTGAAAAAAAGTGCCATTCAACATAAAAATAAACATAATTAAGTTTGCACAACGCCAGAAAGTGTCAAATCTGCAACATACATATAACATACAAACATATGTTGCATGTCTAAATATATATGTAATTGCAGTCAGGAAATTAAATCTGGGTATATTCGGTCTTTAGAAGTGGTTATGACCGTCTCAATGGTCAGTTTAGGGGTGTTTAAGCGTAGTCCTGGAATGTTCCGATGGTTTTTTATTAGATGAGACATGTTATATGTCTAAATATAGGTAATTGGGGTCAGAAAATTCAAGTCTGTGCATAGTCGGGCTTCAGAAGTAGTCATAACAGCTCAAGTATTCATTTTAGGGGTGGTCAATAGTGCACCTGGATTATCCCGATAGTTTTTCAATTAGATAGGACACGTTGTACGCTTAATATAGGTAATTGAGACCGAGGAATTCAAATCTGGGCATATTATGTCTCTGGAAATGATCATATCTTACAATGGGTCATTTTAAGTGTAATCAAGCGTGGCCCTGAAATATTCTGATGGTTTTTTAATTACATGGGACAGTTGTATGTCTAAATATAAATAAATATGGTTGGGGAATTAAAATCTGGGAATATTTTGTTTCCAGGAGTTGCTAGATTTAGTCATGGGTTGTCAAGACAGTATTTTCTTTATTTTGATTTATTTTATGTACTTAATTTTTTTGATATTGTGAATATAAACATATAACGTACAATAAAATTAAACTTTGTTGACATAATTTTTTTTAATAGATAAGAATCAAGGAAAATATGCAATGGTAGTATACAACCGCCTGGTTTTTAGTGTTTTTATTTTTTATATTACTTGTTGACTTAAAAGTTATTACTTATTGATTAAAAGTTATTAAACAATCTAATATAAAATGAGTTCCACTAACAAGAATAATATAGCAATTAATATTGAAAACTTAGCGTCTCCAGTTTTAGCCTTTTATAATCTCCTCGCTTTATCAACCGTCATGCGGTAAGCAAATTAACTTTCATAATAGCCTTAGAACGCAAATGAGTATTCAGAATAAGCATTTTTTTTTCTCTGGTGATTTAAACTTGGATACAATGTGTTATAAAAAGTTTGTAAATACAAAAAACTTTTTTAATTTATTACTTGAATTTAACATTATATCTACCATTTTTAAGCCTACGCGTATTACAAAAACTACCTCGTCCGCAATTGATAATATTTTACCTAATTATTTGTAGATACTCATTTTGAATCAGGTACTTTTATTACAGATTTCTCTGATCATTTTCCTATTTAT